GGTAATCCACACTAACATATTGAATATTTTACCATTAATTATTCCTTCTGTATCAACAGAGCGATCCAGTACCTAATCACTTGAAAATATCAGAATATATTAATATTATTCCATTGAAGGGGCACAATTTTGATTTTCTTATTTATATTATTTTCTTTCTTTATCATTTAAATATATCAGGTCAGAATGGTTTTAATATGTATATATATAGGCGTATTACCTATTAAAGTTTGATGTATATCTATTTAGATATTATAGTACATTTATATTTACGTACGATATGAGGGCGTATTATATTGATTTGCCTTCTCTGCTCCATGTGGAAGCCGTTTAGAGCAGTGGAAATGGTTTGGATCCCATCCTCGAGGTCGAGGTCTCAATCCTTCACTTTGAATGTTGCTTGTCTGCTTGAGCAAGGCAATTTATCTACATTGCTTCAGTCTACCCAGCTGTGTCAATGGGTACGGGCAAATCTCGAGGAGTAGGCCTAACCTGCTTTGGACCAGCGTCTCACACGCTACAAAAACTGGGGATAAGCATCAGTCCTAGTGGCTCGGCAATGATTTACATATCTCTGCTCCATGTTAGTGCAACAAGAGAACTAGTGCAGTTCCGTATCTACAAGAGAGTGAAATGACCTCACAATTCCCATTTAGACACTGATATGAGAATTTAAAAAAATCAAACTCAAATTGGCAAACAAAAATGCATAATTGAAACGAATTGTCAGCTACACGTGCATGTATGAAAATCAAATTCCCATTCCTCCTCGCCTGATCCACATTACTTTCCACCTTCTTTTGTCAGAATCTGTTTATTCAAGAAATTCGACCAACTCTTACTTTAACTTGCCTTTTTTTTTACTTGTCGATTCTTATTATAGGCTATTTTATTTGCCAAGGAAATTGGTTTTCGAAGAAAGGCGATGTTCCAAGTTTGTTTTTAATTCAATTGATGTCAAATTCAGCACTTTTACAACTACTGGAATGAACAGTTCCCTTGGTAGATTTAAATCGTCAACTAAACGTGTAGAATTGGCCAATCAATTAATTACCTGAATTTCTTTAAAACGAAAACTAAGTTTATTTTGGATTAGAATGTATAATACTCTCAAGAATATGGTCTAGAAATCGCAGGATAAGAACCCTATAAATAAGAAAAATAACTACAAAGCAATGAGATTTTGTATACCATGTTTTAATATAATTCAAATTTAACAGTTCCCCAATAAATAATAAAAACATTAACGTTTTAACGTACAGTACGTGTACATAACATTAAACCTACCAAACTTGTGCGACTCAATTGATCTTTATCTTGCGTGACTACGCACTATTTAAGTTTTTTTCTTCGACATTTTTGTTGTACTTATTATGTACGTAGTTTTCCTGAATTTGGCTAGGTCTAAGGAGTGCGCCTGCGTCCAGAATTAAACTTAAGTGCCTCCGTTCTTAATTGGCTTTAGAGATTGAGTTACAGTTACAGTGCCACGAAGAACAAAGACAACGCTCTTGCATGGCAGCACGATCAATTAAAAAGTCCACGAGCGCCTTCAAACCTTTAAATTCTTCAATAACTAATTCATTAATTTATATTGTAGTTACGAAGACGATAAACTAGAAATATTTAAATAAATTAATAAAATATCAGTAAATACTCATAATTACTCGACATAATTCTGTAGTAATAAAAATTAATAAAAAAAAATAAAAATAAACAGCGATAATAATCTAAATAGAATAAATCATAATGATATAGGTCACGTGACTTAGTGTCTACAAAGATTATGTACTTGAAAGCTTTAAGTAATATAATAATATATTTATAATAGATGTTAAGCAGAGTATTAAACAGTTAGTGTCTCATTTATATTAATAATGGAGCAGTTTTGGATTTTCTCCTCAGATTAAGCGGCCGGTGGTCGTGCTTCAAGTTGGGTTAATGGATCAATGAGAATGCTGACTTCTCATAGCCTTAAATGTTACCATCAGTAAATACTGCTCTTTGATATTTAAAATTACACGCTGTCTGTAATGAGCTATTTAAGTTGGACAGTACTCTAACAGTTGTATGTTGTGTTTCTTTTATATTTAACTTTCAATTGAAAATTTAAATGAGTACACCATTTTTCGCAGACATATATCGGGATTTGAACTCAGAACTTACCGAATAAAATTCAAAGGCTCAACCAGCTGAGCTAGTGCATTAGTTAACTTCCTTTTAGGGTTTTTTTTTTCTTTTGCGTGTGTTGAATAATACAAAACTGATAAACATGAAAATATATTATAATATATATATATATATATATATATACATATATATATAATATTATAACTATTATAAATTATGCAATGTGGCTTGGTTCAGGGCTGATCCAGAGATCTCCGAAAGGGGGCCGAAAGGGAGGGAGAATATCAAAAGGCAGCACTACGCTAAAGGTAAAGCCCCCGCAAAAGTTTTGTTTTCTAGAGGCCCGAAAATAACCTCAGAGGCATTTTTTCTTGTTTTTGTTTTCACTTTCCAAAAAAAAGGGGAGGGGCTGGGCCGACTCCCTCCTCCTCCTCCTCCTCCTAACCTAAATCCATCCCTGCTGTTGTCACTCTGAATTTCTCCCTCTACTGCGGCAGGGTGTTATCCCATTTGTCATCTGTATGTATACCTGATGATGACCTGTGGTCGAAAGTACTTGTACAAAACATATTTTATTCTGAGGCAGATACATAAACTTTATTTAAATTCTTGTTAATGTATATATATATATAAATATATATATATATATATATAATTATATGTATATATAGAATATATACATATATATATATATATATATACATATATATACTGATAATAACAACAGTGCTCATGTACGAAAATATGGTGTCATATAATCGTATGATTTGTACCTGACGTCATAAATAGACCATTCCTGTAATTCCCGCCTCTTGAAGGGTCCAACAAAAAAACCACTGTAATCGGCACAAAAAGTCTTATGTTTTTTGGGGGAATTTTTATTTTTTAAGTGCGTTGCTAGAAAATTAAGCTACGCTAAAATATTTCGCTTGGATACAACACTTAGTTCTTAATACTCAGTTAAGCACGTTTATCATAATAAATACATTAAAACGAATAGCATATTTCGTTACCATCCATACACAACAAGACTACAACGTAAACATCACTAATCCTTCAGAAACTCATTTTTTTCGCAACAGTCCACACTTTATCAACGCACATGCCTACGCAATTTACAGGTACGCATGGTACTAATATAAACGTTTCATGAAATATGTATCATTGCATCCACCACGTGACTAAGTGTTATTTTTTTACGCACTTATACACGCATTACAACGGTTTATCACTATACAAAACATTCAAACCTATTGAAGCCCTAAATGTAATAAGTGTTTCTAAATGTAATAAGATTTTAAAGATTAATACCTTTTATCCTTAAATGTAATTAGGTCCATGGGTATGATCGCCTGAATAAACGTCACCACATTCAACCGTTATGTGACCATTCAGTAACCTTTGTTACATTTAGAGTCGAAAGTTTCTTCACCTCTATTTCATTTAAGGCCAAATGTTACATAGGACAATTATAACTATTAGGCTCTTAATTTTTTACACTTAGGACCATTATTACATTTAGGGACATTTATTTGATTAGAGGATTCATCAATTATAAAGCTACCAAGCTACCAATGGACGAAGTTCACTTTTTACGAGTAATTTGTAACACAGACTTCAGTATACACGCAATTTTATCTTCAAAACACACGTCTCTGCGTGGAATGCTCAACACGCAATTGGCCAGAGGTAATTTATAGCACATAATGCTGTACATACAAGTTTCTGCAAACAGGTAATTCCCTACACGCAAGTTACAGCAAGCAATTAAGTACACGTTCCAAAACACATGTATAATACTTCACTTTATTCAGCATCTATAAGACTCATTTCTGATGTGAAAAAAAAAATCAAAATTCTTCTGAAATCTCACTTTATATCTACGGATTGGTGACAATGTAAGAACAATATCAATGATGCAAATGAGTAGACATTTAGAGCGAAGTCAGAGATTGCAGTCACAGATCAATTCTAAATTCAAAGCAGCAGTGGTAAACATTTGTTTGTTAACATGTGATATGATGCTACGATTTATCATTAATACAATTAATGCTAACATTAAACAATCAGCCTTGATTACCAGAAAATAAAAGATTTACTTATGAAATTAATTTTGCAAGAGTTCAAACATGTCACAAATTAAAAAAAAACCCTATTTAATTAAAACATTGAATCGCTCATATTAAGGAATGAAAGTTACTTCACCAAATGTAATAACTTATCATTGTATGTAATATTCCTACCAACCATTGATGGTTTAGTAAGAAAACAATAAAAATGCTTCCAGATTGAAGAATTTAGCAATGTCACAACCAATAGTTATAATAATAATAATAATGATAATAATAATAATAATAATAATAATAATAATAATAATAATAATAATAATAATAATAATAATAATAATAATAATAATAATTAACAAACAACTCATATATTAGAGTTACCAAAATTTGGTAACTATAATGGCACAATAGGAGGAAATTATTTTTCTACTTTTCAAATTTATTAGGCTCCTCACTAAAATATTTTAATTATTTGCCAGACCATTTAATGATCTGTACCAAGACGGGATTGTCGCATACCAGTAATTGTAGAGGTATATATTTTCTTGTTAAATTAAAACCTAATATCTCACAGGCAGATAAGTTGATTTAGATGCGAACTGACCTCCATGTACTTTAATATATAATTTTAGTATATAGTAAAAAAAAACAAAAAAAAAAAACAAAAAAAACAAAAAAAAACAAAAAAAAAAAAAACACAGATACAAAACTTAAACACAATAACATAAATAAATACTATACAAGTATCCGTTTACCAAAATTAAATTAATTAAATTAGAACAAATGTTTCTTCTAATTTTTTTTTTTTTATACTAGAAAAAAAATAATCCCAATAAAAATAATCGGCTCTAATTTTTGTTGCCATAGATAGTAATTTGGGTCTTACTGATTGATAAAAAAAATATACTACAGACTGGAAAAACCAATAATCTCACATCTGTCTTCAACATATCCAGGCAAACGTTCATCGACGTAAGCCGAGGATAATGATAAATAATTCTGAAATTCAGTACTTCAGTCTTTTCCAGGGGAACTTCAATCGTTGAAATCAACGTTCCGATGTCATGTGACCAAATCTTACGTAATTGATAATTTCCACACTTTGGCCTAGTCACCTGCTCAGCTGATAAATTATTGTTTGTGTAGCTTTTCGGATTAATATGCTCTCGTGTTTATGTACTTAAAATTTCACTTCTTAGTTATTATTTTATTCTTTCGTTTTGGCGTGAGAATTCAATCCATCAATATACAAATCCGCGTCTTGTAATTAATAGAAGGCTATTGTCTAATTTAAGAAGTGATTTTTTCCCATGGTTCTGCATTATTATAATTAATTTAAACAATTAAACGTGGATAGCCTCCAGTTCATCTCATTTCATGCTTCGTGAGTCCGGACAATCGTTGGTAATAAGCCTCCGACTCATTGTTGGTGTGCTCAATGATCATAATCGAGTAGTTTATGATTTTTTTTGTCTTTGCACTGATTAGCTTTGCTATATTAAGACGTTCAGACACATCTGGATATCACTTGCCCGAGATCATCTCGGGGTGAAGGAGGCAGTCATTCTCCTTCGCGTTGCTGATGTGCTCATTACTCTCGGTGTACCAATGCGGTGGATATCTCTTCGGACCATCAGAATTTATATGGACTTAACGTTTCTTCGGCTTCCACAACCACCATGGTACCGCTTTGCAGACTAACTCAAGTAATGTTTCACATTGTGCAATTTCTATTTTTGATGCCAGTTTCTAGTAATGTGTGAAGAAAGGTAAGCCTTCTTGTTTTGTTATCCAAAATTCCCTTGTCATGTCGTTGTGATAGGATTTATGGCAAATAATTTGGTCACTATTTTAAGAACAAAATTATCATAACTCATGATGAAATAAGTTGCAGACGTGATAGTCTAAAAATACAGCAATACAGATAATGTAGGCCTAAACACCGCTTTACAGTCCAACAAACTTCAATAAAACATGAGCTTAAGTTGCCAGATCGTGTGAATGGGAATTTTTTTTCTTTTTTATTTATTCATTCATAATTCGACAACACAATACAAAAGGAGCAAAACAGCAATATAAATATCAATATAAATACATATACAAATACATAAACATACACACATACACAAATATACATAAATACACACAAACGTACATAAATACAATGGGAAATTTTTAGTGTTACTATACATTTATATATATATATATATATAATTCTGTCGTTAAAGAGTAATTAGCGATATTGACATTGAATTATGGAGTGTTATAATTCTTATTATGCCTGTGATGAAATCAAATACAATGCTGGCTGTAGTACATTCAGGCTGTCAATAAGTAGCCTATAGCTGTAAATACATTGCTTATGTTATGCCTTGTACTTACTGTAATTTAAGCTTGATGATCCCTTTTTTATCAAAAGCTTTCCGGTTGTATAATTTAGTGTTGTCGATAAATTCTAGCAATTTATTCATCGATTGTTCCATTTTCAATATAAAAAGTTCTAATTCGCATTAAATTATTATAAAGAAAACGCTTTAAAATACAGGTCTTTGTGTCGAGTCCAAGGTCACGTGACTTGGGGCGAAATTAAATGCGTTCATAGATTCATAGAATCTGCAAGAATTTTCCAAAATTCAAGTCTTATTGATTAGTCACATAGTAAACTTATACATAACATTGGTTTATATATAATATGTAGTTTATCATTGGCCTAAAATCATCAAATAGGCTATATAAAAAGCAGCTAGTAACAATAATCAATTACTGACTTTAAATTGTTAATCAACTGTATTTGTTCCGTTTATTTGTTTAAAAAAATCGTTGAACTTCTGCGCTATTGTCAGATTTTTGATACACAGAGCTTGTAGCGTATACAGTGTGGCAAACAATAATTACCAAATAGCTTTGTTATTTTAAAAATCAATGCTGTTAGTAGTAGACGCATGACATATAGGTAAATAATGAAGGGAATTCTGGGTAACATCAACTGGTTTTCCACACAAGACAATCTATTTTCTATTTTAGAAATCCATTCTTCATAGAATTGCAATTTACTTGAAGTGTTCTTGTTTTGTTGTTTACTAACTGAAATGGAAACTAAATGTATAATAAATAAAAAAATAATTAATTTTATACACAAAAGTATAGTTCATATCGTTGCTTTACCACCTCTATCATGAGGCCAACATTGAGTTTGCTTGTAACATTGGAATCATTAGTGCTTACTCAACTATTCTGACATAGGGGTTAATTTAACATTTAAAAATATAAATCCGTACACAACCGCAGTATGTAAGACACTTGAAGTTGATAAAATCCAAGCAATTTGAGGTACTCCTTGACGCACATATCCCAAAGGGTTAATGTTAATTTTTATTCAAAACCATTCTTGAGTGTATTATACTAACGAAGGCATTATATCTCGTTGACTTCATCATGTTAACGTACGATATGATAAAGTAGAGTATGACGAATATTTGGTTCAAAATAAGATAATGTGAAATAATACGGATTCATCTAAACCAATACGAGAATATGATTAATATCGATGTATAGCATATAGTATATAGCTTTATAAGGAAAATGATAATAAAATAATGATAATCATATAATAATGATAATGAAAGCAATAGGAATAATAATAATAATAATAGTAATGGGCTTAAGCCGACTAATAGATCAAATGATAGATAGGTATAATGATATTAATAATGTTGCAATGTGTCATGTTATTTAGTCTATAATTATATAGTGTATTCCACTAGCACGACATAGTGACAAAGAAAAATAAAGAAAATTGATTTCACCCCTACATATTATCACAGGAGACGTGTGACTTTGCGACTCATACTTAAAGAAAATGTTATATTATCAATGAGTCGTAAGTGTGTGCTAGCTATTACTTGAGTTCATATGTAACCTAGCCACACGCATGTGTTGTTCTGTTTATGATGAATCATGAGTCACGTGAAATATATTATTTTATATTGTACGTCTTTAGCTTAGTAATTCCTTCACTTTGTCTTCATTGCCGTATTCAAAAGATAAATAAAATAACATAACTCAAACAATCAATGGTATACATTCTATAACATTTAACCACGTAAGCAATCGTAGGCCTATATAGGTTTATTTTGAGAAATAAATTAGAATAAAATTACATAAACCCACTGTAAAAAGACGATAAAATTTCGAAAATATTGAATCTAGTTTACAAGAGTATAACAAAGACATTTGACGTTTAAAACAAGGCTTAGTTTACGCTATTGCATATAAATACGAAGTGGTAGAATTAATTACTGACCATCTGCGCACATTTTACTATAAGATTATGCTGAAGATTTCATTATGTTGAACGCTGCGCGAACTCAGCGGATGGATATCTTGTGATTGGTAATTACCTTCGTTGGAAATCATTGAAAGCGTTGCGCTGTGTAAGATGTGGTACAACACTGCATTAAGAATTGCAGTATGGCGAAACATAGTTTTACGTCCTCGAGTGTTTGTGCGCCTGTTATGTTAAAAATGTATTCACTGAGAACATATATGACGATTGTTTGATTAGCTTTGGTAATTTGTTTGTAAATGTAAATGCTAACTTGAAAGTAGAGACATGTATGCTTATTAATACTACTGCTATTCTGCTGACTACTACTGCTACTACTACTACTACTACTACTACTACTCTATTAATAATAATAATAATAATAATAATAATAATAATAATTATTATTATTATTAGCCTATATTATTATTAATAATAATAATAATTATTATTATTATTATTAGCCTATATTACTAATATGATAATCTGTATTATTACTGATGTATTAGTCCTGATACAGTACAACATACGATATATTTTTGAGTAGTTTTAATTAAATTGTTTTCAATCTACATACAGTAATTATGTAGGAGTGTAATAAACATTGGAAAGCCTTAATTACTGACGGTCGCACAATGGCAATGTTGATTTAATCTTAACTGCATCTGCATAGTTCTCATAATCGTATTTATCATCATCATTATTGTCATTATTTTCATTATCATCACCATCGCAGGGAGATCCAGGTGAAACCAAAGTGAGCACCCCCTCACCTACTCCACCGGCAAAATAATAATTATTTTCATTATTATGACTACTATATTGTTTCTCTTTAAAATGTTTTGGAGCAAAACAGGTAGACTAGACTAATGTTTGGGCGATAAGGAAACTTTAATTATTATGTTACCTGAAGGTATGTAAATTACATGTTTAATGTAACGTTGAGGAAAATGTGACTGAAGTTAATACCAATGATGTATAACAGATCTTACAAATTGTATAAACCGAATAATATTAATATTCGGCGTTGTTGCAGTCTGTAATGTATACTTGTAATTACAGTAGCACTTTCTATCTGTTCTCAAAGTGGCGATGTTAAAGTGACATTTCACTTGCTGACGTGATCTCGTATCTTCCGTAAATGCGTATACGCTACAACGAGTGTAGTATATTTTCATTGGTCAGTGAACGCGTACAGATAAAACATGTGGATTGCGCAGTGCATCGCAACCAATCACGGCATGGAGCTCTCATCTTCCTTAACTTTTAACGGCATAGGAGGATGAACGCCGCCACTTTAATACCAGCACACTTGCAAGCGGCAAACGAGCGATTTCACCTGTCATGCCGATTCCTTTATTTCACTATTTGTGATATATTATATTCACCAACCTTGTAAATACAGTGTAGCCGGATTCTGAGAATAATCAGTAATACTTACTGTATAGATGTTAACATCCGCAATTTTGAGTTTTGGCCCTATTCTTGGGTTTAAATAAGGCCAAAAGATAAATATACAGTATGCTTCTAGGACCTCCATCATTAACAGCATAGGCCTAATGAGTATTAATCGGATTCTTACACATCACAAGACATAGGTCGTTATCATAACCATAAATTATCAATCATTCATTATATTTTACGATTGTATCTGGGATAGGTTTTTAACTTTAGGACTTTGAATGAACACAAGGAAATACAATTATGTTTAATACAAAGTAGAGTATACTTAAAAATCAGAAATTATACGTGGCTAAATGTTGGCTATGATATAAATTTTGGATAAAGCATGAGAGTTAACCACAGCTTTCAATTCAGGCTACATGATTTTTATTCATTTAAACTATACGCCGATATTAATATACGGTATTGATATCGAAGATTTTCTGTCTATAACCCAATATTCAAACCACTATGCGTCAATCTATCACCAACTACACATATCCATCAGGAGTGCATATTCAAATCTGAAACACGATAATATTCAATCCCTTAAGCCATAAGTTATATTGTAAACTCTGCACTAAAATCTGATCGCTGTTGTTATACCCGCTTGTAAGTTATGAAATCAAACAGTATCGAGCTAAGTTCTACAGATTAATGGTTCGACCATTACAAAATGTTAACTCGGAAACATAAATACCTCAATTTGAACATAAATTCATATCTCTTGAATATCTGGTCAGTTGTGCTGTAATACCAACAGATAAATCACTACCTGAGCGAATTGTCGCAGCCTTCATTTCAGTGTATGTAATAAAATGTAAATTCAAATATTTTTTAACGAAAAGTAAACTGAAAACACACTGAATAATAGTAGTCAGGAGCCGTTGAAATTATTATTAATAAATTGTGTCGTTTTATAGCACCCATCAAAGCTAAAAACCAGCTTGTGACCAACCCCTAGATGTGTAAAAATAGAAGTTGGGTTAAAAACCAAACGAGCCTTTAAAGTTTTGTTGGCATGAGGCGCTACAGATGGCTAATATCAAATTATCATTATTATGAATGTAAGTTGAAATTAAATATTTCGAATCCTTCAAATATCAATAATCAATTTCTCTATTTTAAACTATCCGTTATCAATATTAAATGCAGTTGATATTTTCTCGTGTATTATATTAACGATTATATTTAGGAATACATTTCATTCCAGTGAGATGTTAATGATAGAATGCATGCTTCTTCAAATGATTACAGAGCAAATACAGGAAACGGAAGCCATCTTCTTGGACCTGACTTACATCACTACCATTTGATCGACAATAATAGCTGGGTTTAAGTCTAACCATTGAGTGAGTGACGCACATTAATTCGCCTTTATCCTCTCGGCATTGTGTTAACGAGCATTATATGATCCTGAGATATATCTCAGATTTAACGATTAATAAAAATATATAAAATTACATTTTCTTTGTACCCATAAAAACGTGTAATTTTTATTTAAATCCTACAAATAATTATATTACTAGTAATTAATATTATCATTAATATTATAATATTTAATATGACAATGATTATTGCATTTATTATTACTATCAGCATTATTAGGTCTTATTAATATTAATAATATTATTATTCTTAAACACTGCCCATAATAAGTATAATCAAAACAAGATCATAAAGAAGTTTGACACGACGGAACCATCCAATAAAAGTGACTCATCTGATTTATAAGCATTGTTTCAATTATGTATGTACGTATGTACTCTGTGTGTGTATTGTTCTTTAATTTGACCAAACCACTGACTTTGTAAAATAAATTGTATGAAATTAATTACCAAATATAATCAAGAAACGAAAAAAAATCGAATGATTCATTTGATTAATAACCGTTGCATATATATGTCATATCTTGTAGGCCTACATAACGTTTACGTATTCACGTTAAATATTTTATAACCTAGTAAATATTATAATTTAACTATAAATTTTAACTAAGGAATGAAGTGAAATACAAAGTTTACAGTGGTCCAAGAAATGTATGTATTTACTTTAAAGTGATTTCTGCTTTTCTTTTTGCATTTATAACGAAAGACTTTACTAAACAATATTACTAATGTATATTTTTTAGAACCCCAACTTAAAAAATAGGCTTTGTTTTTTCCAGCTTCATATAATGCAATTATATAAATACGAAAGATGGAACTCAACTTTAAGACTGGATTAAGTATGTACTTCAACATGCTGCACATTAAAATTACTTTTAGCTTTAAACAGGCCTGCATTTTGAGAATGCTATTTTACAAGCCTGACTTTAACGAAAACCTTCTTAAGTCTTGTCTCACTACGTTATGACATCACTCCATCAATCATCTGCAGTAGACTGTGGCCATTACACGTTCATCGAATAAAATTAGGAACATATTATTCGTTACACAAAAAACATACATATGAATCAAACACAAACTCACTACCGAATTGCTTATCTAAACAGACTCTCAATAAATATCAAAGCATAATTTGTTTTTGACTGTTTACCATCGCCGATGCCAAGCTGACTGTTCAGAAATAGATTAATATTTTTCTCAATTTGGAATTATCTTTAATTCTAAAAGCAATTTAATAATTTTGTGATTACGTCTAGCAGGGTCAACAACCGATACGGGCTGAAACTCAAACTGAGTTATTTATCTTAAGTAGTACTTTTTTGTAGCGCTAGATATATTCTAGTTTTTAATTTACAAGTCAATAATAAACTTGTAGATAGGACAACGAAAACTGTACTAAGAAATTGTAATAGGCCTATATATAAACTTTTACGATTATTCGTCACACAAAGCTATAGTTGTAGTGAAAAAGAAAATAAGAATATGTATATATATATATATATATATATAAACAAAAATAAGAGGTTCAACAGAAGGATTGATTAGGCATACTGTTGAACCTCTTATTTCTGTTTTAATTCGCTCTGATTTAATTACAATTGAGCACTCTACTGATGATATTTGCAACTCGTACAATCGTTTTAAATATATATATATATATATATAATTTATACGAACAAATACATATTATGTATGCCTACATATTTGTATAATGTGTTTGCGTATTGTTTGTGTCTTGCGAGCTTGCTGATGACACTTATCTTCAAACAACCATATCAATAGTAGATAACTGACCAACGGAATGATTCACAAATCCAGCTTTAAACGATAAGTGTATCTGAGGCCATACATTTAGCTATATCAGTAGATCAGATCCATTGTAATACCATCTTTATTGCTATCTGTCTACAAAAGTGAAGGCAATAATTGTTGCCCGAAGACGAAGCCATCTGTCGCGTTTCTTGCAAATACTTGATTAACACAGAACAGAAACTTGTAGGCAGACTCCTATAGTCAGAGTTAAACTTGATAACTCACTTAAATGATCAAAATGAATGAGTAATTAAAACGAAATACAATACAGTAACCTTTAAAAAATCTAGTGTACGGTATAAAATCAAACTATTTTTACATGAAATATTTCTCGTATATTTTGTATACAAATACCATCTAAAAACAATACACGTAGGCCTATGCCTTTGCTGTCTCGTGAATATACCTTAACGAAGTCAATTCACAACATACGGGTCAGATAATTAACCTCCTGAGTTAATACAGTATTAAAAGGATGTGTATAAGAGACAGTATATATGTCATATCTTGTAGGCCTACATAACGTTTACATATTCACGTTAAATATTTTATAACCTAGTAAATATTATCACATTGGGTACCTTGCATGCTTAATTATTTTACGTACATATTAAAAAAATACAAAATGTCTTACAAATATTATGAATGTATTTTGATAAACACATTTTACATTGAAATATTATTATTATTATTATATTTTTTATTATTGTTATTATTATAATCCAATGAACACACATGTGTCACGTGACACACTATACTTGACTAAACCAGGGTATACCTCACTATCACATTTAAATTCGCAAAACTGATTTTTATTACTCAGCTATTTCCTGTTAGGCATCCTTGTACTCAGGAAACAGCTCCCTCTCCTTAATGATTCTCTGCTGAATTTCTAGAATCTCAATTTGAATTTAGAATTCATTTATAATGGTTTTCCATATTCTAGAATTAATCTTCTTTTACAAGTTGAACTTTTAAAAATGTAAGAATTTCAGTTAAGCTTACAAATAATCATTACAATAAATATAACTCTTGCCTTGAAGATGAATTGTTAAGTTTAGTAGAGGTTTTGTTGAACTTACGAATGAATATAGTAAATAGATATAATGTTGTATATTTTCATACTTTTTTAGCTGAACTTTTTGAACCTTGATATAAATTTAAAGTGCGGTTAATATCTTGAATATAGGTAGTCAGTAAAATGTTGACTGTTTCCATCGTACGCAAGTTTGATTTTAAAATGGTTGACGTAATATTTTCTCCATTTCTATAGCATTTTTTATGTCATAATTATATAAATACACATTATAGTAATGATTTAAGATCTCATATTGTCAAGCCTGATGTGACCAAACATGAAATTGCCTATAAATAAGCATAATGATACATGTGCAAACACCATGTGTTTGTTCCATAATACTCCATAGTGTAAATACAAGTTTAGCAACTTCAGTGACAGTTAATTTTAAAATGTACTGTCTCTTGCTAAATCTTAAGGTAGGAGGTAGGTAGACAAAGGTAAAGGTCAAAAACCTGAAGCTCTGAGCTCACTGGCCAGAGTGTCTATCTGTCTTTCCTTGGCGTTTGGGCCAGAGTGTGCAAGGCTGTGTGTGGGTGGGGATGGGTGTGTGTAGAGGGGAGGGGATCGTCATCAACACAGCAAGTCCGTTTTACCTTTCCAGCATATGTTTGGTACCCATTTATACTCCTCTGGGTAGAGAGAGAGAGAGAGAGAGAGAGAGAGAGAGTGAGAGAGAGAGAAAGAGAAGCGTATATAAATTTTCGTTCGAACCCCCGACCTCAAGGTTGGGAGTCCGAGACACAACCGTTGCGCCAATCGCTTTCATAATTCTTAAGAAAAAAAAATCCTTCAAAACTTAAAAATCAAAGCATTGGATAGTTCATTAGCAAATCAAAATAAAGTATCAACTCTCATTAAGACAGAAAACAAAACAATAGATGTTTTGCTAATTTATAGATATTTACTACGATTTCAACAAAATATTTATTACCTGACAATTAAATGGTCCATGCAAAGGATATCGGAATGGCATTAGCTATGTGCCTGTAAATTAACAAAGAAAATATTTCGTTGTTCTAATTTTCAATAGATATTTCAGGAGTGTCAATCAAACTTAACAACTAACCAATCAGACAATGGCCATGAATACGCGCACGTCTGAAAAGAAACGTGTTTTCCCACAAATGCACGTGTTTTGTACGGTATGTTTAAACACTGTCGTCTTTTGGGGACCTTTTAGCAACATTAAGGGCGGGGTTTAGCGAAAAGGTCCATTAACCGGCCTAATTATAGGCCTAAAAAGAAAAATTCAGTCAAATACCTAAACAAAGACAATAACATTATCGTTAATTAATCATTAATTGAACGTACTATAATTGATATAAATAAAACAACATAATTACAGTAGGAATGATCTGTTTTGTTGAACCAATTAGTTGCTTACCTTAGCAACGGTTTCAGCAAAAGCTTAGGTTACTTTCTTCAATACTTTTTACACAATACTTCATGAAAAATACTTTGAAATTAATTACATTTTTTTTTCAGAAATTATCTCAATTCACACACTTAACGAATCTTGAGTTGTGACATGAAGATGAGCAATGTAGGCCTAATGGAGTTTTATTTGAGAACATTCAAGGATTTCCGTCTAGCATGATTCATTGCAGAAGCTCTGGAAAGCTTTAGCTTGGTGGTTAGAATGCTCACCTTTAACCCCATGCTTCTTGGTATGTATGCTTGAGAATATTACTAAAATTAGGCATTCTACTTTAAATTTGAATTGATATCATTTTCATTATATGATACATTTATCTCTCAGGTAATTCCGTCACCATATGTTATTACCAAGGTAGATTATTTTGAATTGGTGAGTAGATAGGACGGGTCATTTACGTTTTGAAAAGAACTACAAAATCTGCTAAATGTGCCCTATATATTTTCGATCGTTGTTCATACTAACAAATTGCGTGTTTAAAGGTTGAAATATGATAATTAAACATACATATAGAAAATATCTCATGAACTAGACTTTAGATTCTAGGGCTGCAGATTCTTGGAGAAAATAAGATCCAATTTGAACCTTATTAATTGTTACTTTTGTCAGACAGTGTGTTGTCGTATACGCTATAAGTGTGACATTTTTAAATAATGTCAATTGTCAATGTTGGGGGGAAAAAAAGTTCCCTAAAAACATGCAATTACTAATTTAAAACGAAATATGATTCGAACATCTAACAAAACACAGAACAAAAACAGAAATTCAAATTTTGTTTATTTAATGATTTTTACTATGAAAATAAAGAAAATAAGGAATTGCATTGTTAAGTGTCTCCTAATTTTAAAGAATTTTTGTCAGGTGAAAGGTAATACATTTTTTACTATTAAAGTAAGAAAATCGAATATTTAAATTCCTTTTTATTCAAGTTGTTAGCTTAGTACTGAATAAAACTGAAGAAGCTTCGAGATTCTGTCAAAACTGTAATGCAAGTATGCGATAATGTCCGTCAATCTCGATCATTTACCTCTGCAATGCATACCGTGTGTTTTAGAGATAAATACTTGTACGATATCGTGATGGTCATTTGAGTGTTGTTATAACAATATATTGCTGAACAGACAGGTGTAACATAATTTCTAAAAACAACTATTTACGATGAGATACTCTAGATATAGGAACAAGACTGCCTTTGTCTTATAGAGACTAGTGTAGGCCTTGTGTGATCCATAGAAAAACCTATTTTATGAAGCGTGTGTAAGCAGACATCAATTTCATACATACTGTACGGGCTCCCAGCGGTATGATTGTGACATTTATCGAGGCGTAAAATGCACTTGCTAAATATTGATGGATATGTGTAACCCTCCCCGGGGCTACGAGATCGCACTCTATGAATTTCATTAAATTTTAGAGAAATCAAGCTTGATAAATAGCATATTCCATATTCCATCTTGTATCTGAGCATTGGCCTCAGACAATCTTCCAGGCTATCGCCTTACGTCGTTATCCAATGCTCTTAACGCCATGGCTTTTAGTACGTAGTACGTAGTTTCGCAATATTAAGTAGAGGGCAGTATTCCTTTTGCCAAAGGGCGTTTTGACATCAATGTAGCATCACAACTGAATGAAACAGATGAATTTTAAAATTGTTGCACAAGATGCTTCCGATATCCGATGTTCTAAATTGTTAATGGTAATTTCTATAAATAGTTTACCAACATTAGCTGTAGCACGTGCATGTTGGCAAAATGCAGTGCACATTTTAGAGCAGTAACTGTCTGTAGGCCTAAAAGCCTTGATATACATAATTGTTTAGAATAAAAATACGCATTGCTAAAAGATAATTTTATATTTAAAAAAAAATCAAATATTAGCATAGAGGATGGAAGCAACTTTGTTCAACTTTACAAACTATATTTAGGAAATACTTATCATTACAGGGCCGACTGTATTGCTTGTCCCTCTGTTGCGAACTGTAACTAGCTATGCCCACCTCACCACATGTACTATAAAAATAAAACAGCCTTTATTCACATTTTGCCATAATAATTTACGGAAAATTATTATAATATTACTACTAAGAACCAAAGATTATGTGAATAAATTAAAATTGAAACATAAATGAATTAAAATGGTTCCACAAGATGGTACGATATCCGTTGCTCTAAATTTCTAACGATAATTTGCATATTAGGAGTATCGAACACTAGCTATTAAACGACAATGCTGGCAAATTGATATGCTATGTAATTTTCTTAGACCTTCAAGACTACTGCAGTGATGTCAAACAAGGCCTCATTATAATTGTTTAATGTACAAGATGCATTAATACTAAAGAGTAATTTCGATGGTGTTTTTTTCGTCAGGGAATATGTTAATAAGAATGATGTTTGCCCTACCTGACGTGTTATCGTACTGAACGCGTACAGTACGTTCCAAAATACTGTTGAAAAATATTGCAAGTAATTCAGGTGGTAATTAAACCAACAACTTCCAGATACCTAGCATGGTGTCCTAAGTACTAGACCACCAATCTTGCGTTTAGTGACTAAGTGTTGAATCCGATCCACAAGTAGCAGCGGGCACTGCAATGCTCTGGATGCGTCAGGCAATTTTTTAATAGAAATTATGTTTTGTCCTTCCTATGAAATGCAGTTTTGCATATACGCACCAACTTGGAATGTTTTTTTTTTAATTGTTTATCACATGGTACGTGCCATATCGTTTGCAGACGATACATTCACGTGTCGATCATATGCGGACGATACGTCATTATAATGCTAAATATGAATAAGTTAATCAATCTTGACGCTATTATATTACTGAATTTAAAAAAGGAAATATCGCCTACTGTAGTTACTATAAGAACGTTAGCAGTCAATTTTTTAACTTGTGTTGGCTTAACACATTACGTATTAATATACCTTATAGTGAGTGGTGGCGCCAGGATTTTCCTGGAAGGTGGGGGTACGAGGTTCCAGGCGGGGGGTAGGGGTACATGTCCCCGACGAAAAAAGTGGGAGTGGTCGGAGTCGCTCAAAATCTCTCAAAAATCTTCCATGGGGCGAAACCCCCCAAAAATATGACAATTTAGGGGTTTCAAAGACTTATTTAATCAATTTTGGAGTCTACAAATATGTAGAAAATAGGCCTACACATACATTGTTTCTCCCCGACGATTTGTGGTTTTTCTCCCCGACGGGGAGTGGTGGGGGAGAGCTCTCCACGACAGGTTGCCAGAATTCCCCCCTCTGGCGCCATCCCTGCTTGTAGAATATTATAGTTGGCCTCTCCCACCGCCCACCATCCCCGCTGGCACCAACGCCTGCTAATAAAATATAGGAGGTTATTGAAATTATTCTCAGTTAAAGCTGACTTTCCATTAACATCACAGTGCCTAACAGTGTGTTTATCTAAAAATATCCAAGTTAAAACACTAGTACTAGTTCGCTACCCGATCTTGTACAATAAAAGTGTGCATATTATTAGATGCATGCAAATGGTACTTTATAATAATAATAATCATTTAAAAGGGCATTTCTGAAAAATGAGGGGTTCTTTCGAACCCCTACAACCCGCTGCATACGGGTTTGTACTCGCATATGCATGAAGGATGGTTCTGGTTCGCTACCAGATCTTGTAAAATAAATTGTACATATCATTAGAGATGTGCCGTGATTATTACTTGCTTCTTAGAACTCGTAAAGTGTTTGGCCAAATAATTTTTGAAATAGCTTTATATACCAATTTATATTTATTTTTTATTCCGGAATTTGAGGAATAATTACACTATTCTGTAGATTATATCATATCATTTACTATATTGAAGTCAAAGGGCATTTAAAGTTGTGTCAATACTAAATAGGGATCAAAGTATTAGTATATGAAATAGATACAATATACATTATTGCAAATTATCTCAAATAACAATAATGGCTAAGAAAGCTGGATTACAAGTTATCCTTTCAGAAATAGTTGTGATATTTTTTTCTAGCAATTCGTCAAGATTTAAAATTTAAAATTTATGAGAAGCAGTTTGATAAATGTCAATTTCAGAATAACTTTATATTTCTAGAGCACAGAAATATATGTCGGACTTTCGAGCGGACACATGGACAGTGTAGTTTGTGATGGATGCAGGACGCCCTCGGAAATCAAGTAGTCATTTCTTAGTGTTCACTGCATACCTTGATGTTCATTTGCAATTAAGGCACGCGGTGAATGCCAAGGGCCAGACTATATTACAACAAACTGACGTCATCACCTTGCTCAGCTTATTCAAGTGAAGTAGAAAACACATTATATGCACACAAAAACGATTTCCATCGTTCCGTATTAAAATCCGAAGTGTATGGAGGCAATTCTTAATACCATATGGTTTATAGCTATAATAACAATAATAATAATAATAATAATAATAAATAAATATATATATATATATATATATATATATATATATAATAAATTAAATGCAAAAGTTAAAAAAATGTTAAAAAATTGAAAATTAAAATATACTCAGAAACTGGACACTAACACTATTCAGAATTCTGCAATTTGAAACAAGTTAAAAAAATGAAAAGAATAAGAGTACATTAATAACATTTCTGTTCATTAAATTTGAAGGCAACCATATGAGTGACCAACTCCACTACCACCGAACACTACAAACATAGTCTATATATCTTTGTTTATACTAATAATGTTCAAGTGAGTTCATTTTCAAAGGAGAATCTTTGCCCCTTTACATTTCGTTTATTTCGTCCAAAAGAACATCAGAATTCACAAACACAGCAAAAAGTAAACAGAATCACTCTCTGGTGGTTCTCGAATGCCAATGAGAACGTAAGATACATTAGCATAAAACATTCAAGTAAAATAGGCCTATCAATACAATTTATATTTTAAAATATATGTGTACATAATCATCATGAAATCGGTCAATAGTTAAAAAGATAAAACTTTAAAAATACAATAGAAATTGAAATAGAAGAATTGCAGCGAAAAACTAATGTTAAAATGTTCAAACATTACCTCAGGTTTTCTAATGTTGCTAGAAAGACCAATAATATAATCTTCTTACAACAGATCCAGAAGTACAGGAAGCAGTTCAGCTTCTATAATTGCAGTTTGTAAGCCTTGCCACATTTTTTTACCAGATACGTTTGTGGATTGTTAAGGTTCAACAATTTTGGAGTCTCTATCATCACACTGTTTCATGACAACAGAAAAGTAAACGTTTAAGTTACAAGTAAAATTCCTGACACCACTGATTTTAGGATGGAACGAAAAAGGACCTGTCTCTTATACACATCTTATTACAACAAACTGACGTCATCACCTTGCTCAGCTTATTCAAGTGAAGTAGAAAACACATTATATGCACACAAAAACGATTTCCATCGTTCCGTATTAAAATCCGAAGTGTATGGAGGCAATTCTTAATACCATATGGTT